CACTTTCCATAAAGGAAAGTGGCCAGGCCGCTGGCAAAACATTCGGGCACTCGCTGCTTACGCGCAAGCGCTGCTGCGCCAGCTGCTGGAACGAGTGGCCACTCGCTCATGGGCAAGCGTGGTGGACGCAGGCAGCCATAGCCGGGCTGGCCTGCGCATTGCTGGATGGGGCGCATGGTGGTCTTCAGGTGCACGTGGCATCAGTCTGGAGGATCGACGTTGTGAGTGAGGTGGAGACATACCTGGTGCTTGATGCGAACGGTGTTGGCCGAGATCTGCTCGTACTTCGAAAAGCTGTTGACGTCACCGGCGACATTGTACATAGGCTAGATCGGATCTGCCAATCGTAGTCTGGGCGCTGAGCGCCAGTTAGGGGGACGACATTGGTTCCTTGGTGATGATGAAGACACTATTCCAACATTGTCATTTGTGAGCTCTGCTGTGCTCTTATTTGGTGTAACTCGAGTTGCAATTCTGCTTTTGGTTCGAGGTCAAGACTGTCTGGTCTCATATGTATGATGCTGCTTGGTTTCTGAATTTCACTATTGCTCATTTTCCTTGCATTTTGGTATCAGAGCTGTGGTACGTTGCGCTCATCTGGCGCTTGTCTTCTGCCTATGCGGTGCACGAACGCGGTTTGTTGGGTGAGCACCTGTTGGTAGCGTGCAGTGAGGAGGGCGAAGGCAAGCAGGTGACCCAGGTGGAGAGGGGTATCACCAGGAAGGCTGTGTGGTGATATTGGGTGTTTCGCAGTGTGATGAGAACTATCTGATGTGCGATTGATGCTGAGGTGGAACGGCGGTATAATGCTGGTTGTGTCAAGGCAATGATTGGTCATCACAATCGGCGTCAGGTCATCTGGTGAGAACATTTGTGGTTGGGGGCAGCTATTTTGAGGTATGTTGCTCTTAACCTTATCTTCCCTCTTCAACACTTCTTACCGTGAGGATGTGTGTTCTGTCTTGAGAGTCCTCTCATGTGACGAGTCGAGTGCGCTCAACCTTGAGAGTCGGCATTGTTCACATGAAGCATCTGGAAGGAGAGGGCGTTGTCATTTGAAGGGCCCTGTACGAAGCACTGGGTCACGGTCACCATGCCAACCCACCGGGAGTAGAGCACGCATGCCTTGATGCTTTGTCCTTTGTCTGCCTGCTGCGGTATAGGTAGGTCATGAGGGGCAGGCCAGCCCTACAGGGGAGACGAGAACCAGACGTCTTTAAATAAGTACCGGCGGGTTACCTTCCATTGGCTGTGATCGTCGTTCTGTCTGCAACGTTAAATAATTCTTGAGGACCTTGGGGGATGTCCTTAAACTGCCTCTTGATCAGCGATTCAGTCGGTGTAAGGCTCGCTGCACGCGAGGATAAAAATAGTGCAGGGCTGCCCAGCTCAGCACTGACTTGGGGCACAGGGGTGGGCGGTGCACACCTTTAGACACACACGCTATCTGGATTGCTCAGGAACGCTGACGTCAAGTGACATCAAGAAGGACTGAGGGAGGGGTAGATTTCAGGTGATAAGCTCGTGTACAATTCCACTCTGCAAACAGCCACACAAATGATGCCATTTTTTTTTTATTAGTTAGATGTTACGGCCATTAACACATCTGACAGACAGCATAGATAGAACTATATGTTTTTCCGTGTTTGCTTTTTGTTTGCGGACTAGTCAAACAAAATAGTTTCGTTTGTAGGAATCTGGACTTACCTGCAGGACCCAACTGTGTATCATCTGATAATGCCACCGATTCATTATTTTTATTTATTTCGGTCTGACCACTACACTGCGGTAGGCAACAGACTGTGTCCTAGTGCAGACGGTGTACAGTGCTGTAGCATAAGAGCGACAGAGAGTACCCTAATCTGGACGATCGGATCTTGCGTTCATCAAGCCACAGACTCCCGTTGCTCCACATAGCTCTAGGAGCCAAGGGAGACCGTCTTCTGTTCCGACAAGCTAGGGAAAGGCAGCGTCAGCAGAGGGTCAAGAGGGACGCAGAGGCAAGTAGGGCCTTCGCTAGAGAGTCAGCTGCTTCAGCGGCCGCAATGGCCACCTCTGCACAATAGGGCTCTCAAGTGAGTAGTTCCGGGATGCAGCAGATTTCCCAAGCCAGTGGTTCAGGGACTGTTGGGGCAACGGTCGCACAGACCCACAGTAAGTCCGCTGGTATGATGGCCAGCCAACAATTTGTGTTATGTTATGACCCTGGCCAATTTCGAGATACACATCCACTGGAAAGTACAATGCCATCCAATTGCAGAAAGAAATGAATTGTAATGACCCGCCAAAAACACAGACTGAGAACACTGCTGATTTCTGGGATTTGTCACTGGAATGAATGCCTTGCTGTGATTCCCGCATTCTG